CCCCACACGCCGGGCGAGGCCGGCAGGGAAAGGGACCCATAGACACACAAGAAAAAGCCAAGTTAAATAAGGCCTCCTCCGGCCTTCGCCCAGGCTCGCCCTCTCCCCTCCACCGACGGAGGGCAGGGAATAAGGCTCCATCGATAGAGCTGTTGGACAAATCGAATGTATACAAGCCAGCAGGGCGCGATGGGTCCCTGGACTGCAGAGAGAATTACTTAAGGAGCGTACCCAATTACTGGCACTTATTTTTTAAAACGTTCTGAAGAAAGTCAGAAAGACAAAGAAAATGAGGTAAACTTAAATAAAAAATACAATCCTAGTGTAACTGCCCCTGGTAAACAAACAGCTAAACAGGAAAGACACACACTAAGGTGCAGACACCCGCTCTTCCGCAGCACTCGGGTCCCGCGGATCTCTGGCCTGCACACGGGACCCCTGCGCAGTTTGCCGAGACTGCATGTGCGCCTGGCTCAGGGCAGGCGGGGGCTTGGCATCATCTCGCTGCACCCACAGAACGACTGCTCACCCTGAAGGTGGCACCCCGGTTTATAATTAGTCACTTTAGGATAGCACTGAGCCCCAGAGGGCGGCGCGAAGGGCGGGCGCTGCTGGAGAGGCCCGAGCCAGACAGGTGGAGAGCAGGAATTTGAAAAGGAGCCCATTTTTCTCAAGCGGCCGGAGCTGGCTCCCGTGGCTTCTGCTGGCCATCAGCGGGAAGCGGACCCCAGTGACGCTCGACAAAGGGTCCTGGTTAGTGACCCCCGAGAGAAATGGCTGCACACCAAAAAATCCGAGTGGAGGCTGGCCGGGGGTGGGGAACCCCACCGGGAGGCTGCCCGAAGAAGGCATTTAAGGCAGCGAGCCGGTCACAGCAGAGCGGGAGCGTGCAGGGCGAATTACATGCAATCTAGCGGCCGCGAGCGAGCGAGCGAGCGGTGGGGGCCGCGAGGGGCGGTGTCACGTTCTATTTACCCGCCATCTTTCATCGGAACATCTCCCGCACATCCCACGCGACAGCTCTTTCATCCTCCCAGAGGCGCGTGCTGATTTGAAGGGTTCCCTGGGGAGCAAGAAATACACCCCGGATCAAACTCGCCCCCGACCTTCTGACCGCTTCTCGGCGGCCTTTGTTGCAAATGCCCCAGGCGAGGCAAATGAGGAACCTCGAAGACAACGGCCAGCCCAGAGCGGCGCCGATCAAGAGCCCCAGCAATGACAGTTCCATTTCAGTTCAACTTGGTTTACACACGCGCTGCACACGGGGCAAGCTTTATACACAAACACCCCCTGCGGCATTATCCCTAAAGGTAAATGCGGCGAACAACCTCAAGGTCCACCAGCAGATTTGCTTGGTTATAGATGGCACAGGCCCACAGCGAACACTGAAACAAGCAATTAAAATATTCAAGTGAAAACGGGCACCTTGTGTGGTGTGAGTACTAAAATCCAAGCTCAGTGTTGGGGCAAGAAGTGGGTACAATTGCACATTTGTTTTAAGGAAGGGCGAGTAAAAATTTCAAACCGTCCAGAAGCAATGCCCAAACCGTCCTGGTGAGAGCACAGGGCGCTACTGGCCCGCCTGCTGCAAGGCCGGGAACACGACTGGGTCAGACTCCTACAATGTTCATGGAAGTGGTTACTGCTGGGTCTTGTTTTCATTCTTCCTATTTTTCCGTTTAGCCACTTCCCTGTCATTAACTTTTAGAGTGACAATAAATTAAGACCAGATTTCGGTTTCTGATCATCTCCCTCCTGACGGGAGCATCCCGGGGCCTCCCTCCCAGTTGGAGTGGCCTGACGGGTGAGAGACTGCTCCAAGTGGGCCGACACCGACAGGGAGCTTCTGTCCGCCCGAGCCAGGGCTCTGCATGAAGACCCTGCACGACGGGTCGGAACTCATTTAAAATCCAGCACCAGCTACCAAAATGTAAAGTATTAGTTTTATTAAAATGCAAATCAATCAACTAATCTGTCTTTCTAGTAACAGTTGAATTGCAGTATCCGTGTCAATTAAAATAGTTTCCAATTTATTCTTGGCTGGAAGGAGAGTGGTCTTCTGAATTTTAAAATTAGAGCCTCCCTTTTATGGAAAATTTCTGGCCCTTCCCTTCTTTCTCATCTCTCCTGTCTTTACTTCATTTTAATTAAACATGCTGGCCTCCAAATATTCTGAAGTACCCATTTGTGCATCTCCCCCTCCCTCCACCAGACAGAGCGATCAGACAGGGGCACTGTCTGTTCGGTGGAGGAGCACCAGGCTCCGGGAAGGCTCGCTGTTGGAGGTTACTGACTTGCCGAGTGGGGTGCAGCACCTGGATCCCCGGGCTACGTGGACGGGGCTGGGCGTTCCGCATTTTGACAGCGAAGTGGGAGAATCTCCTCTTGCTGTTGGCTGATCTTTGAGGTAACTGGAGACACACAGGAAGTTGGATGCTTCCCTGACAGTCAAGCCCAAAAGCAAACTACCAGGGAGGCAGAACAAGCCACAAGGCGCCAAGGGCTGATTCCTCTGCTGGTACGGCCACCCCCGTATGCCCAGTATGTACAAGGTGGCACTAGACTGTGAAGCCAGTCATGTCAGGATGCTCCTCCTGTGGAGCCCGGCCTGAGGGCACCACAGTGGTCCCCAAGCAGAGGCACAGAGGGGCCCTAGACACAAACACTGCCACGCAGTGTTGGCACCTACCATCTCCTATCAAAGCCCAACGTCAAAACCAAGGTCTGGCTAGCAGTGCAGCCTCGCTCAGCTGGCTGGATCAGTATCGCCTGGGGCCACTTCAGAGTAAAGGTCTGGGCACAGTGGTCACTGCACAGTGACCACCCCAGCCAAGAAATCCCTGAGAGGACTTTGGAGGGAAAACAAGGGAATGGCTTCCACCTGCTAGATTTATAGCAGACTTCATCTCAACAGAGGGCATAGGGATGGTGAGGCTGGAACAGGACTCTCGGAAAATCTCCACGGGGGTACAGAAGTCTGTACTTAGTCCCTCGGCACCCAAAGAAAACCCCAGGTTCCAAAGTGCCCTGAGAAACCACTGACCGTCCACCAGGAGCGGCATGCTGCTCTCCGATGCCTCCCTCCCGGAGACCACACGCTCCTAACACCCTGCGGCTGTAGAGCTCTGGTCAGAGCACTCGGTGCCAGAGCTGAGCTGGGCAGCCGAAGAAACCAGGCGGTGGGGGCAGTGACAATACTCTTTATTGGTGATGCGTAGAAGGCCTGGGGTCCACTCTCTTGGCTGAAGGCCTCCTAAGCTGTATCTGTGCATGTGCGGCGGGTTCTGGGCAGAGCACCTCCTGGGAGTCTCTCTAGCTCAAACCCGTCTGTGGCTGGAGGAGCTGCAGGGCTTGGTCCGACCACAAGGCTGTGAAGAGATGGGTGACTTCAGTTCCCGTGGTTGTCACCAGGAGGGTTGAGTCTGCCAAAAAGGGAGCGGTACAGCTCTGTCCTACAAGACAAAGAGAACAGACTGGTTACACACCGCCAACTTTCTCACGTGCACAAGAAACCAAGGAGCCCCAAAGCCCCAATCGGTTTGGGGAGACGGGCCCGAGGAAGGCAGCGGCAGGCGGGCGGCCGGGACATGTGGCTGGATGCCCTGTCTCCAGGGAGCGGCTCTCCCCCGCTTTGCCCTTTCCAGACGGGCTCTCCACGTAGAAAACAAGATTGAGTATTCTAATAGGATGCATGAGATTGCCACGAGACGAGGAGGAGTCAATCAGACATGGGATGCAGGGGATATAATTTCGTTTTCATACATTTCTTTGGTCTTGGCAGTACTTGAAAAACAATGAAAATGACCCAGCAACAAGATTCCAATTAAGGACCCGCGTACAGCTGAGCGGAGGCAGGCTCTGCCCCACTCTCAGCGCTGGTGTCTAGTCTCAATCTAACAGATCATACGATGGGCCAATGTACTTGTACAAAGCAAAAACATGCCAGGGTCTTGGGTCTCTGAAAATGAAGTCGATTGCTCCCAGGGCCGGCTGCCGCAACGGAAGCCCATGTGCCTGCGACAGCTGCTGAGGGCCAGAAAAGCGAGCAGTGGGCAGATGAGCCCATGCCTGTGGTACAGGGCAGATCACTCCGGATGAGGCTCGAGATGCCACGGGGTCCCAAACCCATGTGCAGTGGCACCCAATGGGCGCGTCCTCTACACACACAGAGGCCTGCCAGCCGTGCTGGTGGGGTACCACCGGGCTCAGGGCAGGGCAGGGCAGGGCAGGCGGGTAAAGCTGCCCTGGTGCACATTCTCCAGATTGCCTGTCACCTTGTTCAGAGAGCAGCTCATCAAAACCTCTCATGGCCTGAGTGACTGTGCCTGACAGTAAAACCCGCCTCTCCCCACTACCCAACAGCCCTCGGGCTCAGTACATCAGACATCAGCACCCAAACGCGCGTCAGTCTTCTGCGGAAGCCCCCTGCTAAGGGCTGTGGGCTAGAGTAGTGACCATGACGGAGAGCCCAGCAAGAGGAAGAGCCCTTCACAACTTCCTAAGGAAAACTCCAAGAAACCCCAGATCTAAGCACACAGCCTTTGGGAGGGGCCCCAGGCCAGGACCTGACTCCACACCCCAGCCCAACTCAGCAGGCCCCAACAGTGGAGGCAGTCCACCCCAGGCCCTGGCCGTCTCCTCTGTTCCTCTCCATGAATGGCTGTCGGCCTCGGCCTCTGCCAGAAAATGGGTGACCACACCTGTGACGGGGCCACTTCCACCCCCCGCTCCAGCTCACCCAAGACAGCAGGACCCTGCCCAGTCTTCGCCCCATCTCGCACCTCTTTGCCAACAAGGGCAAGCTGCCCTTGCCATTTTGACAGAAAGATTAAATGGCATGAAGGGAGAGTCGCCATGACAAAAGGGCAGTGCGACTTTAAGACTCCGAGTGTGAGGAGCAGAAGCGGCAGGCGGGGGCTATGTGGCCCCACCATCACACCTGCCGCCTCACCCACCGTGCTGGCTTGCACCAGACCCCATCGTTACCCGAGCGAATGTTTCCAGACCCCACGCAATCGCGGGGCTGCCTGGGCCGAAAGGCAACGGTTACTGTCCGCAGCAGGGTTCCCGTGTCAGGAGCAGAGGGTGTTTTGATAGGGCATCGTTTCACACTCAGGTGGGCAAAGCTGACAAACATATGAGCTGTGTCCGCAGCACAGCGACTCGGAGAGCTACGGGGCTGGGCGCTCCTCTTTTTAAACGAGAAGGAGAATGAATAAGGATTATTCCCATCTGAAAACCCCAAAGTCATTTCACCTCCACGCCCTCTCAGCCTCTCCCACCAACCAGGGGGACCAGTGGTGGGGTCTACCCCCCAAGCTGACAGCCCTCCACATCCCACCCTCCAGGGTCCCCCACCCCTCACTGAGAATAGGGCTGCAGCAGCAGCACCACCCCCAACCTTTTCTGCTCCCTCCACTTCCACCTCCTGTCCCCCTGAGCCCCAAGTCCTAACCCTGTAAGCAAACCAGACGGACCTCTCTGGGATGAAGGCGCACGCACCCCACCCTTTGTCCAAGACTCCCTCGGTCCTTCTCTGTCCTTCCGGAGGCTCCAGGGCAGGCTGGACCCCCTCAGTCTCTCAGCTCGGCTGCACCTACTGGAAAGCACTGAATAAAGCCAGGCCCCTCACAGCCCTGCCGGAGGAACCCAAGGGCACTGGCATCCACAGGCCACACGGACATTACCATCCCTCCGTCACTTAAGTCCCACACTGAGCATGTTACCTCATCCTTTTCTGCTTGAATTTGTCTTCCCATTTGACTTTCCCTACAGAATGTTGTCCTAGTAGGCTTTAATGTCTTTTTATTGAGCACCCCGTCATCCCTTCTTGGCTACAAAAAGCTAGAAATGTTTTTCAATAAAAGTTGAAATAAAATAAATTTTAATTTCTCAAAACTCCCAGGTTCTAAATGGTAAAGGGAAAAAAATTCTTCTAGAGTGGGTTCTCATTAGACCTCTGGCTCGCGTAAACTAGGAGTATGCATACAATATAGCAATAATACACAGGGCTTTACCATCCCGATGAATAGAGCTATGTAAACGCTAGTGGAAATGCACTTCCTAATGAAATAAACGAAGCTCCCCCTTGTTTCTGTATCTGCAGGGAAGTCTGACTTCTGAAAGCAAGTCCAGCAGCAGCCCCTCCTGTTGTTTTGTGCAGACACAGCCTTGAGCCCGTAAACCGGGGTGGGGGGGTTGGGGGGTGGGGAGGGGGGGTTGTAGAAGCAGTGTCACTCAGTTCTTGTCATTCCTTTCTGAATTACACGTCCAAAAACAAAACAAAAACACAGGGTGATCGACCACCAAAAATTACTTTTAATGATCTACCACTGACAACTCAATTAGATTCTCCTGTAATTTTGTTGAAAACAAAGACCCGGAAATCATATGAGCTGAAAGGGGTTTGCTATCCAGGCCTTAGTCAATCCCTTTCTCCAGCCAGCGCCTGAATTTCAGAGGTGCCTGAGACCCTGAGCTTCTCCGGAGCCAGGCTAATGGCCCACCTTGGGTAGAGTGGGCACAGGGGCACAGAGAGGTGCAGCTAGGAGGGCCAGGAGCCCCAGCATCTCCAGCAGACCAACCTGAGCAAAGAGCACACACCTGGAAATGGGTTCCCAGGTCTCCTTTCACTCTGGAGAGCCCAGAATACCAAGGTGTAAGGGAGGCGTGGGGGTCACCCCAAACCCAGACAGACACTAGATCTCGCCAGGTCAAAGCACCTGAGAACAAAGCCCATCCATCTCCCTCACCCCATCCCCAAAACACGGAACCTCAAACCAGGTAACAACAAGGCACCAAGGGCCTGAGTCAGCTGCTTCCCAGCATGGAGCCCTCCCCCCACAGGGGTCCAGCCATGCAGAGCAGCTAACCCATCAATCCTCAGTTTAACCTTGTCTCCATCCAATTCTCCAGGGTAAGTGTGTAGTTTAATACTTGAGGTCCCCTTAAGGCTATGCATAATGAACTTGATGTCTTTTGTTTTTAATACATAATCCCTCCCCGCTATCACGTGAAGAGCCAAGATGTAAACCACCCAGCTAGCTGCAAGCTTCCCCACCCCTCTATCTCCAGGCCAGTGGGAAGCCCACCTAGAAGCGGTAATCATGGCAGCCTCTGCAGGAGCGTGACCTACAGAGTAATTAACAGGATGCAGACCGGAGGTAGAAGGTCGATCACAGGGGCCCTTCCTTGAATTAAAATTTAACCTACCCTTTATTACAACCTACCAAAGCAAGTAATGAGCACTAACATTTTTATTTCTTTTAAACTGTCATTTAGGCTGTAGAGGGGATAATTACCTATCTTTACTGTAGTGCAGTTTTATAACCCTTAGTGAGGCATTTTCTAATTTAATATTTTTACTATATTATCATAAAACCTGTTTCTGGAAAAAAATGATCATGATTAGCAGCCATTTTCTATAAAGGCAGGCACGCTTGCGCGTGTGTGCATGCCTGCGGGGGTGGGGTGGGGGGCGTGTGTGTCTGTGTGGGCGTGTGTGTAAGTCCAGGGGTCGGTGGGGGAGCGGGAAATGGCCGTGGCAGCCTCTCCCTCTCCCGTGAGGGGAGGGAAGCTGTCCAGGGCTCTGGACGAGATGAGGCCGTGGGTGCACAAGCGATGGTCTCCACGTGTGTGCCACCACACAGATCATTGTCTTTCATGATGGTAGTTGGGTAAACAGTGCAAAAGAGCGTATTAAACCTGCAAATGATCTGTGTGGGGCTTTCAATTTGCTAGTCAGTAGCCTGCAGCATCGGGGACACCGGAGGAACTGTGCCCTCTGCTCTCCAGAACGAGGCACTCGTCCTCCTCCTCCTCCCTCGGGCTGCCCCTCCCTGCACCCACACTCGAGGCAGGCAGCACTCCGAGCTCTCTAGAGACCTGCATAGGCTTCCAAAAGCACAGCATAACCTCAAAGCAAGGATGGCAAGCCAGGGCCATGAGTTGGCCTGCCGAGAGCGCTGGTGGCTACAACCCTGCCTGCCGCTTGCCTAAGGAAAACGACACATCATGTTCCCTTGAAAAAACCGATCATTTGTTGTCATTAGTGGTGTGTGTGTGTGTCTAAATACACTAGGCATCCCACAAGGCATCTTGGCCCTTCTTGCCTTTCCAATCCTCTACCACCTCTGTCTGCCCTGCACGCAGTGGCAAGAATGGCACTCGGCCCCTCGCACACACAGAGGGGAGTCAGAGGACGGTGGATGCCAGCACTGCCCCTGTCTGGCGGGGCTGTGCTCCCATTAGAGTCCGAGGGAGTCTTTCGACCACATCAGTAAGGAAACTGCACTGACCAGCATGCCCACAACAATACATCTGTCGTCAGCAATGACTGACGGCCCTGCCCTCTTCCAAGCCTAACTTTCGGCAACAATTTACTAACACCGTTGAAGCTTATGAACATGTGCTAGGTGTTGGTCCCTGGCCTCAAAATGTAATAAAAGGTAAA